CTAAAATAGTTATGGCGGTGGAGCAGTTTTAATAAAGTCTTGCATGGTGGTGAAAAACAGAAACAAACACACACATATAAGTAAATTTGATTCTTTTGTGATGTTTGTTCACAGAAAATATGAGCTTGACACTGTACTCCCAGTAGACCTTACTCCATGCCACCATGTCTGAATCACTTCTCTGTATGCAGGCTAAAGCATTTTAATCTTGTCACCCTCAGAAGCTCCAAATTCAGCTCTTCCGGCTTGGTGCAGCTCCCCGTAAATGTCACTTTTCTTATTTGTCTTTAGGATCTGTTTACGAGATGCATGGTTAATGCTATTGGCTGAGTTCGTGCCTACACAAATGGTTATGAGCTTAGGATATTAAGACATTAACTTAAAATTGCATTTAGGAGGGTGTTCTTTTGAGCTAAATAAGCTTTTTTTCTAGCCCAGTTTACGTCAAAATTTCCTGTATTTTCTGTCAAAATTAAATTATATCTGAAAAGCAGTGGTGGCACCTGCCAGAAGAAACAAACCTGGTTGTTATATTTATATAAACTCAGTCTGAGGCACAAAGAAATGCTGAACTGTGAATAGATATCATGACTCGTTCTCGATATAATTTTAAAAAAAAACTCTTTCAGTAGCAGCAACACATCGTATGTCCCTTGATTACTCTACCGTAGTTAACATTTCAAAGCTTCCCCTCTCCTGTTTTTCTCTTATATTATCCATTCAGCCCCAAATGGTTTTGTTGCTGTCTTGCCACTTTCCTTTTCTTCTTCTTCTTTGTGTTCGGTTTCATATTCTTAGATCAGACCATCAGGTGGGTTGCTTCTATGAACTCACATGTCAGCTGCAGGTCCTGCATGGTTCCCCATAGCTTGCTCTGCACACTTTGCTCTTTAGGCCAGGTGTCTTTTCGAAGTTGCAGGTAGAGTGGGCAGGTCTGCAGAATGTGCTGAGGTGTTTGGGGTCCTGTTTGACAGGCACTGGGGGGACTGTGCAGTCTTTATTTTATACATGTGGTAGTTGAGCCTGCAGTGTCCTGTTCGTAGACGGAAAATTGTTGTATGTTGCTTTCTGTTGAGTCTGCTGATGGGGTCTTGTGGATGTTTACTGTTAGTTTGTTCTCTCCACAATCCTTGGTATTTTCCTTTGATAAGTGTTCTGATTTCTGGTAATGACAATAAATGGGCGTGTTGTTCATTTTTTGCATGTCTGTCTGCTAACTCATTTCCTGGTATGCCGCAGTGAGCCGGGATCCACTGGAAAATGATTTGATTGTTTTCTGTGAGTCTGTTTAGCTGACGGGTCAGTTCTCTTTCCATGCTGTCTCATGGATCCCTATGAGTCGCCTGGAGGACTGACATGCAGTCACAAAGGAAAACAATTTTGCTGTTTTTAATTTTTCTTTCCTCGAGCACTCTGGCTGAATCAATAATTGCCCGCTGCTCTGCTCTGAAGTTTGTTGAGAGTCTTCCGGAGGCGGCACATGACGTTTCTACTGTGGTCCCATCTTGCAGCATGATGACCGATCCTGCTCCTCCATTTTTGTCTGTTCCCTCCAATGATCCATCAGTGTATATGTGTGTCCATTTGGGTTTGGATAACAGTTGTAGACATGTTCAAGGGTCTTTGCACGCAGTACTAGGTCACATTCTTCAGCCTTTCTGTCAATGCCTGGAATTGTTGTTGTGACTGTGTATTTAGGCTGTAGGTCTATGGTGTATGCCTGGATCATTTCCCATGTTGAAGGATCTTTAGAAAGGATGTCACTGGTTTTTTTTTTGTAGTACAACTTTGATAGATGATGAAAGCTTTGTCTTTTCAGTCGGTTTTTGGTTTAAGTTATTTGCTATTCTGTGCATGGGGTTGTTGTTCATGCGTTTAAATTTTTCTGTTAGGGTAAACTTTCCTTTTAACTCCTTAAGATTCAAAGATTGTTTCTAAAACACCAACTGTGGTTCATAAAGTAATGCAGTAATAACTGTTTAGGACTCCATGAGTTAATAACTATTCTTAGTATTTACTTAGTATTGTTTGATGACATCCATAAGATATCTGTTAGGCGGGTGTGTGACCAGTTAGGAGGCAGTGACCACAGGCCAGTGAAGATTCTGATAAACAGCCTTAAAATAGAAAAATCTCCAGATACTGCACCAAGCTGGAATTACAAAAAGGCAGACTGGAAATTTTTTCAAGAACTTGCAGATTCAAACTGCAAAGTAATCAGCCTTTCAGGTAAGGTTGACAGAGATGCACAAGAATTCAACAAGGCCATACTGAATGCAGCAAAAAAAGCCATTCCTAGAGGAAAGAGGCACAATTACAAGCCATATTGGTCACCAGAACTAGAAGCGCTTCACGGTTCGCTCTGTGATGCTAGAGATAGCATGGAAGCTGATCCAGCAGACGAACATGTGAAGCAACACAACAAAGCAAGGGCTCTCTATGTCAGAGAAAGAAACCTACAGTGTAGAAAGTCCTGGAAAGAAAAGACTGCTTCTCTGAACATGGAAAAAGACACCACAAAATTGTGGAGACTGACAAAGGCACTTAATGATGACAACCCATCTCATGGAAAAACAGTTCTCCAACAAGAAGTAAATCTACTCACAGGGAAGGAAGCAGCGACTCTGATGGCCTGAAACTATGAGAAAGAAAGCTCATATTCAGTAACCCTGGAGCAAAAGAAAGCAGTCAGAGATGGGATAAACTATTCAAAAAAGCCTCTTGTAAGCCATGCATGGAGACAGACATCACTCTAACTGAGCTACTAAGAGCAATGAGAAAACTCAAGTCAAAGAAGGCACCTGGCCCAGACGAAGTTTCAAACGACATGCTCAAACATATGGGTCCAGTAGCAAAAAACATCTTACTCCAGATATACAACTATAGCTGGAAACTAGGTAGCATACCTTACACGGGACCTAGAAAATGGCTTCCAGGAAAAGAAGAAAACCCTCACAGTCTTTTTTGATATGTCCAAGGCCTTTGACAAAGTATGGAAGGATGGCTTGATGCTAAAGCTCTTACATAGTGGAATAAGAGGCAGAATGTACTACTGGATACAAGACTTCCTATCACACAGGCGGGCATCTGTGAAACTAGATGAAACACATAGTCCCAGATTCAAGCTGAGAGCAGGAGTACCACAGGGTAGTGTACTGTCTCCAGTCCTGTTCCTGATCTACATAAATGACCTACCTCAAGCTTTACCCAGACATGTATCACATTCTCTTCATGCAGATGACCTAGCTGTGTGGTACACCTCTGAGTTCATTGGACCTGCCATATCAAAACTCCAGGAAAGTGTGAATAGTGTCATAAACTGGGCTAACAAATGGGGCCTCGAAGTAAACAGGAACAAAAAAACTGTAGCAAACACTCTTCTCATTGTCTACAAAGGAGGAAAAGTTTACATTAAAATTCAACAATGATGCTGTTCCACGCTCCAATACTCCAACCTTCCTGGGAGTCAAGCTTGACAGTCGTCTGACATGGAAACATCACATACTAGAAACTAACAAAAAAGCTATGAAAAAACAAGGTGTGATGAAGAAATTGGCAGGCACCACTTGGGGAGCAGACAGTTGTATCTTGAAGCAGGTATACACCGGCATAGTCAGACCAACTCTCGAATACGCATCATCGTCATGGATAACAGCAGCCCATTCCAATAAACAGATACTAGACAAAACGCAAATTAGAAGTCTGCGTACAATTCTGGGAGCCATAAAATCTACACCTATTGTAGAAATGGAAAAGGCAGCCAACATCATCCCCTTAGAAGAAAGAAGAAGGACAAAAGCAATTCTACATGCTGAAAAAATGAAGAGAATGCTAAACCACCCATTACACGAAAAATTGGCAGCCAGGACAAAAACCCGAATAAAGCGCACAAGCCTAAACCATCGAACGAAGGAATTTGGAAAGTCATTCTCTTCACTACTTAACCAACAATGTACACCTGAAGAGCTATCTTTCGATCTTTGGGACTCCGAATTATTGACACTCAATGTGTCACCATCCATCCCGAACCTGGGAAACAAAGATGCTGAGCCCACTTTAGTGAAGAAAGCACTCACAATGGAACACCTCAACAACATGTTCCCACAGGACAGCTGGACGAGAATCTACACGGATGGATCAGCAAAAGAGGCAACTATGAATGGTGGGGCAGGTGTTTACATAAAACACCCAGATGCCACTACTGTGTCCCTAGCAGCCCCCACCGGACGAACTTGCTCTAACTACAAGGCAGAACTCTCAGCCCTATTGATGGCAGCACAGTATATGAACAATCTGCAAATCACCGCAGGCAGGATAGTTTTTCTCACCGACTCACTGTCAGCTATACAGGCCCTTGAGTCCAAACCTACCGACAGCACACTACAAAGTCTAACACATGAACTTGCTATGTTGTCAAATAAGGCAGAAATTCACTTGCAGTGGATTCCGTCTCACTGTGGCATCAAAAGCAATGAAAGCGCAGATGCTTTAGCCAAGGAAGGCAGTAACAAACCACAGACCTACCAGCCACTATCTTTTCCAGAAGTCAAAACTCTCATTAAGAGAAAATCAGAAACAGATTGGAAAACCAACACTGGTTATAACTATGAAAAAGATTTTCTGAAACACTTGAACAGAACAGACCAAGTCACAGTTTTTCGCTTACGCACTGGACACTGCAGACTCAATAAACACTCACATAAATTAGGTATGAGCCAAACAGCTCTCTGCCGGTGCCTTCGTGCTGAACAGACTTCAGAACATGTCCTGTGAGACTGTCCTCTCCTGGCGGAGCTGCGGAACGACATATGGCAACACCCAGTAGAACTGACAACTAAGCTTTGGGGAAACCTAAGAGACCTTGAAATGACATCCCAGTTTATGACCCACAGTGGATTATGCGCATGACCAGAGATCGCTAAAGAAGAAGACTTAGTATTGTTTAGACTAATCTGTAATATAAGTTCCTCATTGTTTGATTTTTCACTTTGTTCCTTCAGAAGTCAATAACATTGGTCATTTCCCAGACGACTTTGAAGACATTCCTAGAAGAAATGACTCAGCAAGGAGCAAGAGAAGAAATAGATCATCTTCGAGTCCTAGGGTAAGATCAGATGTGATTTCATGAACATGCTAATATAAGTTTGATCTTATGAAATTACTGCGTTCTTGGACTCTTTCTTCTTTTTTATGTTTTGTTTTCACTTTTACTTGTATACCCTTTCAGCATCAAATTAGGAAATACTTTCTGATCTGAGCTTTTGTATTGGGTGCTGCAAGGGGTATTTATGGCATTTTATGTTCTATTTGTGAATCAAAGGTTCAAGAATTTTTTTTTAAAGAAATTCTGTGGAAGAAGAAGAAGATGAGAAGGAAGACAAGAAGGATGAGGAAGGAGAACAGGAGGAAGAAGAAGGAAAGGAAGAGTAAAAAGGAAGAAAAAAAGAAGAAGAAAAAGGAGGAATGATGAAAGGGTGAAAGAAATGAAAGATGATGATGAAATTGTCATTTTTAATTTTCCATGACAGGATTAAACCCAGAGAAACTGACTTGTAATTGTCAGTGAATTGTCTTATCCTTGAACGCCCCTCCACCCCTTCTTTTTCAGATGCCTAGTCCAGGTAGCAGATCAATGTTTGGCTCTGAGACTAGCCTTAACGTTGATAAGTTGGCCAGAAAGAATGAAGACAGACTCAAGAAGCTAAGAGAATTACAAGGTAAGCTGAAACACTTTTTTTTGTTAATTTTTTCGCCTGAGAATCCATGTGACAGTAAGAAACCATGAGCCAGGATTCTTGACAAAAATATTTTCAAAATAACAACTTTTTGAGCCAAGTTACTAAAAACTAATATCTGATACTGCATAGTTGCAAGCTATCATTGCCAATGTTTAGGCATAACAGAGACTTTTCAATACCTGAAGCTGAAATATTGGCTCATGGTTGACATGTAATGGTTGGTGTCACATGCAGATAGCGCACTAAAACACACCAATATTGATATATAGGCAAATAGGACATCATAAGGGTTACGTATGGTTGTTAGGTGGTTGAATCCAAAGTAGTTGCTGCCAAGAAGTCCAGGTTGTGTGGTCCGTCCTGGTGGATCCTAGAGGACGATTTTACCCTGGGATCTCACCATGAAAATCAGCTTCAGTGCTTCATGTTATGCATACGGAGGGATTGGCAGTCAAGAAGTAAAAAGAGCGGACATTTATGTCCTAGTATGGCTCATCTTAAAGGAAGATTTACCCTGGGACTCCGCAGAGAAATTAACCTGTATGCTGGTGAGTGTAACTGCCCTATCTGATAATGCAGGATTATTAAATTGGATGCTATAGCTCAGGGTGACTGCTGACTTAAGAGCTTACAACCCCTAGACTTGGTCGTTGCATTGTTATATTGATATTCAAGTGACTTTGACATGATGCCTTTGATTATGAAGGTGTACGCCTCGTCATTTCTGTTTCACTCACACACTCGCCCTACATCACAGTGAGTGCTGACTATCCAGGCTTAGTATCAAATATAGCCTTCTCAGAGCAAAAGGGTTAAGAGAAGGACCCCATTACTTGTACAGCAGATTATGTTCATAATCGTAGGGTGCCTTAATATTACTGTTTTACATTATTGAACAGGTTTTCTGAGATATGCTGATGTTGGATTTGCATCTGAATAATGACTCTTTTAGTCACTGAATGTTAGTATTTCAGGCTGCGAAAAGAGAGAAACAATAAAATGCATGTTGTATTAAAACGTAGTGCATGCTTCTGTGTATATTAATGCTTAGGGAAATGAATAAAATATATAATTTATGAGTAATCTATGAGGGAAACATAAATTTTTGTTGTTGTTGTTGAAAAGTAGTGTACGTGAGTGCAAGAAATTATAATGTAAGTGGTGAGTTTAAAAATAAAGTAAAATCAGTGTTATTAAGTTACCAGTGGGAGAATAAAAAAATTGTGTGATTGATAGTGACAATAGAAGAGTAAGTGATTATAATGACAAATTGGCAAGTAGGAAAATATAAGATTGATATACAAGGTCTCACACTTAAGTAATGAGACTGATTTTATTACGGTCAAGACAGAAGTGCCATCTTTGAAGCAAAGCATGGAATCCAAAGAGGCAACCTTCACCTATGATCTGGCAACTTTGCATCGCCACCTGATAAGCAGACAACAAACAAGCTGCCATTTTATTGACCTAGTTAGATTTTCATTGTTACAAAATCAGCATGGAGCAAAAAGCTAACATTTAATTATGTTTAAAACTCAGAAAATATGCCATTGAGACAGTTAAATTGATGTGACAAGTTTATGGGAATAATTGTTTATCTGCTGCACAGATTTTTAGGTGGTATTCACGATTCAAAAGTGGTGTAGAAATGATTACTAATGCAACTAGACCTGGACGCCCCATTTCTGTTTGTAATGAGGAACTCACTGCAAAAGTTACAGAATGGATACAAGAAGATCATTGTTTTACTGTCAGAATGATGGCAGATGAATCTGATGTTAATAGAGAGACCCTTCGTTAAATTTGAATGCAAGATTTTGACAATAAAAAAAGTTGCTTGCAGGTTTCTACTGCATTCGTTGTCTGATGACCAAAAACATCAGCTGGTTAAGCACCCACAAGACATCATCAAAACAGGAAATTCTGGCCCCAAAACGAGTGTGTGTTCTCAATCTTCCACTCAACCCCAGATTTGTCTCCCTGTGATTATTTTCTATTCCCAAAATTAAAGTTACCATTGAAAGGATCCTTCTTCGATGATATTGATGACATCCAAAGGGCTGTAACATCAACTTTAAAGGCCATAGCAACAGAAGAACTACAGAGGTCGTTCTTGTGTATGTTAGATCGTGCCACTTGGTGTATCAATGCACATGAGGCTTACTTTGAATCAAATACAGGTTATATCTTCAGCTGTTATTTATTTCTATTTTTATGGAATTAGTCTCATTAATGAATTGTTGGACCTTGTCTGACAAGTGGTGGCATCTGTGGCTTATGTGTGAGCAGTGCAACATTATTTCTTTTGTGATGTAGTCACCTTATGATAATGCTTCTGTAGTTTGACAGTTGTAAACGATGGTGACAGCTCTTTCTGTCTCTCTCCTTACTTTTTGAATCATTCAGGTGATGATGTATCACTCTATGACCCAGAGGATGTTCTGGAACGATTTATGTCTAAACAAGGACATAATAGGTAAGACTATTGTTCGTTGTGTCATTGATGAGTGTAATTTGTATGTGAGATTAATTATGTTATTACAGTTGACAACACTGCACACTGGGCATTCCCATATGTGCTGAGTCTTGTGGTGCAACAACCATCACAAGCAACCTCTACTGATGCTCACATGAGAAGATGGTTATAATGGGGATGGGTATAGTATGTGTGTGTATATGTATGTCTTCATGTATAGTATGTGCTTTTTATAACTTAAAGTTTGTGGCCTGGATTCATGACTCAGGTCGGCCCACCTTCCAAGATTGTATAGGAAGTAGTGGGCCGAAACACTCATCGACGAGGGATCCTTCTACTGATGAGCGGTTGACCCCTGCTATGCATGCTCTGCTGGGGAGTTCTTCTTATATTGTGGCATTTAGATAATGTTTCCCTGGACATGCTGATGTTTTACGCATTGACTTGTGTGTGTTTGAATGCATGTATTATTTGATATCTGGATACACTGTGGTGACTTTTGTTGAATTGTTTATATTTTATGTTTCAATTGCATGAACAGTTTTGACATTTGAGTTTATTCCCGTTGAATTTAATGATGCTAGCTTTAGGTATGAGGCATTTAAATATTCACTTATTGTGGGAATTATTTAATTCTTTATTTATTAAAATCTTGATGAATAATGAGTAATTGAGAGATTGGTCTAGGAAATTACATATTCTCCGCTGTCGCCATAGAAACAAGTCCACAACCGGGGGGAGCTGGCCAGCGTAGATAGGATCAATGTTTCTTTGGAGATCGGAGTGAATCTGCCTGTGAGGCAAGAAACCCACAGTCTTCCCAAATAATAAGCCAGATTTGTAAAACAGATGTTCTTGCAAAACTCAAGAGCAAGAGGAAAGTCCAGAAGTGGACAAACAACCAGTACTTTCCGCCAGAGTTTACAACAGTTGAAAGCAAAGAAGATGATTTTTTAAACTACTGAACCTGGAAGTTGTGTTTCTTTTATTATCACGTTTTTATTTTATGTTATGGTTTCTCTTGTCTTCTAGTCGTGTAAGATAGTAGATCGTCCTTAGGGCAAACAGATTGATCAATCGATAGTAACCTAGGTAGAGCAGTGTCTAGACACTTGTCTGCGGACCCCAGGTTGGAGGCTCAAATCCTCATCAAGGCTGAGATTTCAAAGTGGACTAGGGTGTCCAGCTCAACAAACCTATTGTATGGGCCACAGAATGCAATGTCCTAGGAAGTAAAGTCGGCACTTGTGTTGTTGATCACATCACCCGTCGAGTGCCGACTGATCTTGCACCATATGCTCGATATGATGATGGTATGAAAAAGTTTACTTGCATCCTAGTTTGTACTGACTGTCCAGCAGTGTTTCTATTTTATTATTATTATTATTCCGCCCCTCTTTCGTCTGTTCTATCCGAGGAGCGTCTAGCTCCTAGGCTCTCATTCGGGAGACCCATGTTTAAATCCTTGATAAGGTAATGTATTTGTTTCCTGTTCTAGGGCAAAAATAAACGCCTAACCTGTACAGTTGGTGGCGTCTGTACTAGCCATGCGGCCTTAAATCTCTAGGCTCTAGACTTCCATGTCCTGCAAGGCAGTAGAGACAGCCTGATCTCTGGAGTTTCCTTGTCATGATTGTCGTGTTCCGACTTATTTGTAAATGTCAGTTATCCACCGTTTGCTAACGACTGTTGCCCGCCAGTGCAGAAACAGATGTCAGCGACAAATGTCAAACGCCCACGGTTATAAAATACTTTGACTAAAGGACGCCTCCTTCTCTGCAGAAAAACCAGCCTTGCATGTTGAGAGTTAATAATCAGATGTGCGGATCAATAGGGTTATATTTAACTCTTGTCTAGTCGCTCCTGTGGAAGGTTTTTTTTTTAAAACCACTGAAATGTGTCGGTATAAATCACGGCCCCCGTTTAGATGATAACGTTTTCTTGCAAGAACATCTGGTCACGTTTGGGCGCGCAAGTGCCAAAAAGAACGCGAATGGCGAATCTATCAGTCTGTAATTACCTGTACCGTGAAACTAGCCGAGCTGGAAGAACTGTTTCACTGGCGATTGGAATCGTAGGCCGCCTGCATCCATGGTAGTTTATTTATGCGTACATGACAGTACTGTGCCGGAAATCACCGCAGTCATCAAATAGGTCAGCTGGTATTGTCCAGGGACGTTACTAATGGCGGGTTGGGAAGGAAAAGGAGAAGAGGAAAAGAAGAAGCTGCGGAAGGGGAGAATATGAAGCCGCATTAGAAAGCGAAAAGGGGAAAATTATACCGATAGAGAAAGAAGGTCCCGCAAAAACAGCATATATAATAATACAAATTAAAGCAGTATACCATTAAATGAATTGTTTCATTTTTCGAATGATTCGGTCTGTCACGAAACCATATGTTAATACGTGTGGGTAGAGGGAGGGAGGAAGGGAATTCGTTATACTGTAATGTGCAAATATCCGCATGGCCAGTTAATCAGCATTGTGTGTTGCTAATTATCTATTTTTAATTGAAGCTGTGAAGATGTTACCCATTAGCCGTGATAAGGAGTTGAGTTGATTCAAGAACCGACATCACAGCACTCGGGGCATTTCCATAAGCGCTTCCGCCCCCATCTTCAGCAGCCAGCAAAGAGTTCCGATACTAATGGTGCCAGCAGCATTCTTATAAAACGTCCGTCTTGCCTTTCCTCTGAGCCTCGAGCATCTGCCAGAACCTCTCGTCACTCCCCCCTGCATCAATCTCACCAGACTGTGGTGATCCATCCGCTCCTCCGAACTGTACACGCTCTCCCACAAGGCACTAACCACGTCTGCCTTATCATGCATCAGTATTCCACCAAGTTGTGCAGAGCCAACCAGTCTGTCCGCCTGTTCATTTCTCATCATTTCCCGTGATAATGAAATTGCTGTGCCTTTAATTATTCCATTTTAAATTGGTACTCTGTTTCTTCTTCTTCTTTTTCTTCTTCTTCTTCTTCTTCTTCTTCTTCTTCTTCTTCTTCTTCTTCTTCTTCTTCTTCTTCTTCTTCTTCTTCTTCTTCTTCTTCTTCTTCTTCTTCTTCTTTGCGTTCTGTTTCGTATGCTCATGTCATATCGTCAGGTTGCCTGCCTCTATGAACTCACATACCAGTTGCCGGTCTTGTGTGGTTTTCCCATAGCTTGCTGTGCACAGTTTGCTCTTGGGACCAGGTTTCTCTTTGTGGCTGTAATTACAGTGGGCAGGCCTGCAGAATGTGCTTAGTGTTTGTGGCTCAGTGTTCGTGGCACAGTGTGACATACACACTGTGCGGACTGTACAGTCTTTATTTTATGCATGTTTTTAGCTGAGCCTTTCTCTGTTTTAAACTTGCACACCCACCACAGGGGGAGGGTGGAGACCCCATTTACCGCCTAAAAAACGTGTCGTAGAGGACGATGTATTAGAGATTTGCTGAAATCAAACTTACTGGGTCGAAATGCCTAGCTATAAGTCACAACACAAGGTGCTAAATACCCTTTTAAAGTCGAACGTAGAAGAAGAGGAAGTTTGCCGATACATAGAACCTACTTATCTCGTTTACAACGCTAGTTCTTTTTTTATTCCGGCCTACTACCACATAAACTTGAGTTGTTCGCATGATGTTTTTGTTTCAGCCCACTGTAACGGTTGTGTAAATAGGCTACATTTGGCACTATCGGCAATTTCCCAGCAGACGACCCACGTTCTGCCACCCCCGCAGATACAATCTCATATGTCATAAATCCTTGGGTATTTAATTGCAGTGGAAGGCGGATTCAGAACCTTTCTTTAAGAAAGTCCATACGTGACAAAAAAGGTGCGGCCGCACTGTGTGATAGTTTCAAAAGATAAATTTCCCCCAAAGAAGACAGTGCATAAAATACACCTCGTTATGGCGCTGTTTCCCCCTCTCTAGATTCAGTTGATACTTCGAATAGTCGCTTGTTCTTTGACAGCAATTTTACACGACTCGTAAACTAGCCGCCTCGTGAAAATGAAAACATCAAACTCCGAAAAACGGAAGCATTGTATCGTTGATCGTGAACATTGTTAAGTAGTATCGTTAAGACCGTTGTTATGTGTGTATTTTCCCGGTCTTAATAATCTATCTTTATCCGCTTTTAAACTAAACCAGCTCTGTGCAGTGGATTTTTTAATGTAAACTCCATATGTTTATTCTTGCCAAGTCGCATATAAAGGGTGCTATCGCCCTGGAATCTCACCAACTTTTGCTTCTAAATCATGAGATGCTTTCTTTGTCATTTTATTCTTGGGAACTTCAGTATGTTGCTTTGTTCAGTTTCTGCTTTCTGTCATTTGGGGACTTGCACTGTGTGATATTCAGATGAAATAATGTGTATGGGTGATTGTAAGGAGTACTTTTTGAAGAAATAAATTTGAAATAAACGATCTGCCTAACTTATCTCCCCTACAAACCCCAGCCCACCTTTTTTCTCATATCATCTGTTAATATAATTGAACAGCGGTATAATGTGTGGCCGGTCTAATAAGGACGTAAAAGAGGTCACCTGGAGCCAATAAAATATTGTACACATAAAATGATATCATCTTTCTGTCGTTTACGATTTCTAGTAGATTTTGAAGTACCTTCGCTGCAATAATTGATTTGTCAATAATCTGGCTTTTTCCGTCCGGCCTATGCATTGCCGTTTGGAGTAAACCTCTGTTATACATTTCTTTTTCTTCTTTTGCTTGTGCCACCTCCTACTCTTCTTCTTCTTCTTCTTCTTCTTCTTCTTCTTCTTCTTCTTCTTCTTCTTCTTCTTCTTCTTCTTCTTCATCTTTTTCTTTCATTTTCTTCTTCTTCTTCTTCATCCTCTTCCTCCTCCTCGTCTCCTTTCGTAACTGGCTTGGAAAAGACATCAGCGACCCCTATCTTCAGTCATCTCTGATGTCTAAAACAATAATTCCCGATTGATTGTCTACGAACACCGATAAAAGACTTCATATTGGTCCAACGAAAACATTTGAAGCAGCA